GACCATGAGAAGGGTTTCCTCCTCCTTGGATTGGCGAGATCGAAAAGTACTTCAGATCTAAACACCTGGGCAGGAGCCTCGGAGCATGCTCCACATTGGGGACCCTGGGTTGATATCAGATTGCCGTTCCCTATCCCTGGGTCCTGAGGCAGTTGGAAGGCTGGGCATGGCTCAGGCTCTTATTTACTCCATTTCCCCCAGAAACTGGAGGAGGAAGTAGAAAACTTGGAAACAATGATCACACCCACTTTCCTCTAACTCTGGATCCTTTCCACCCTGATCAACTATGTAAACATCATCAAAAATAAAAGCTTGAAAAAATGATGGAAGTATGATTCACATTGATGGTTCATAGATCCTTCAAAATAACCTTTCATGATTTTAGCTTGCTATGGGATTTTTGGGAAATAAGTAGGAGGACCTTAAAAGAACTCTGTATTTGGGGGGATGACAGAGCAGAACCCACAGGAGGCTCCTAGCATCGAATTGGCTCAATTCCAGCCAGCTTGGTCATTTGGGGAATAAACCACTGACGAAAGTTGTTTCTCTCTGTCTCCTCTCTATAAATCTGCCTTTCAAGTGAAAAATTAAGTCTTTTAAAAGGCAGAAAGTGTCCTTTGAACCATTACCTCTGTATCCAGCATTAACTCATCCGTATCATGCTTTATCCTCTATATTTCCCTTCTATCTACTTATGTGATTAAGATATATTTTAAAAAGAGAAGCTGGAAGGAACATTCCTGCTGATCTTCACTTCTGTAATAAAAATATTGTTTCACATACACATAACAAACAGGAAGCTGCATCAATTTACGAAAAGGATTAGCAGTGAAATAAATTAGCTTTGTCAGTGATTTTTTAATGGGGAAAAAAAATGAAAAATTAATCCAATCACTGAGGGGGATTGAAAACAAGAGAAAAACTGGAGGGTCTGGCTTTAGGAATCCCCTTCCACTGAAAAAGTTGGCATCTAGCAGCTCGAGGGAATCAAGGTGAGAATCAGAGAACAATTTCCATTTAGGTAGAAAAAGGGGCAAATTATTACTTCATTTATACAACATCTAAGAGGATGCAAACCAAAATACAGAAACAAAGAACAGGTGCATGAAATCATGAAAGTGGGGAGAGAGGGGAGAAAAAGAAATATTGACCAAAGAGGCAGAAAATACATTTTGAGCATTAGAGATATGATAAGAGAGAGAGAGGTTATATTGATTGCACTAGGCTTTCACAAAGGAATGGATCATCAAATTGTAGGCTTTCAGAATTGCAGATAAAAGTCTGTCTAGGCAGTCTTCAATAGAAGACCTATAAGTGACCCAGAGTAGAGCTGACACAAACCTCTAACTGGCGAAACCTCTAACTATGGCACAAACATTCCATCTACTTCTGATTCAGCTTTCTGCTTAGGACCTGGCAGAGCAGCAGAGGATGGCCCAAGGCATCAGGTCTCTGCACCCACAGAGCAGACCCGGAAGAACCTCCTGGCTCCCACCTACACATCTCTTTAGCTCTGCCCCAGGGCTGCCATTTGGGGAGTCAACTTGTGCATGGAAAATCACTCTATTTCTGTCTCTCTCTTTCTCTCAATCTAACTCTCAATCACAAGTAAAAATAAATGAATCTTTTAAAAGGTAGCTGTTGGCCAAAAGACAAAGTTTTCAGAATGCAAGTGTGGCTCTGTAGATATGGCAAAGGTTGCAATGGAGAGATGGTAGAGCCAGAGAAGGCTGGGTCGGGTCAGGCCAGGGCAGGTGTCTGAGATGGATGCTCTAAGCAAGGAGATTGTGCTCACAAAGTTGCATAGTGGGCAAGGCCAGAGCCCAAGGAGGCACATACTCCAATGGGATTTTGCCCCATGCTCTACTCTCCTCCCCTCGCGGGACCTTTGAGAATCCACCTGAGGGCCTCCTAGTTAGGCCAGTGTGCATCAGGCAACAAAAGCACACAGGTGCATCAGAATCACATAAACCATGGTGATGGGTCCCCAGAGAAGAAAGTCCCTGGGACAGGCACTGGGTCACTCCTTTCTCTCTAGAACCCTCTGCTCTGATGCTTTCAAACACTTGTGTCTTCTTTCCTCCTTAAGTGTCACCCCCTCTGCAAACCATACTTCATGCTGTGCTGGGCATGCAGACGCTGCTGGAGGGTCCTCCCATTACAGAAACCAGACACAATACCTGAATGCCCCTCATGGAATCATGAGGCATTCATGTTTCAGGTGTGGCATTAAAGACATCTATGTGCCCTCATCCTTTAACTATGATTTACTCTATTTCCAAAAAGACTTTCTAAGTCCCAGGTTATCAACAAAGTATTATTCACTTGTTCAACTCTCAGTTCATTAGAGCCTCCAAGGAGAGAATTGTGTATCTGTACAGAATGTATATGCCACACGGGAACATATGTATTAACTATGCAGCAGAACATTGATTTTAAGGGACACATCATAAAGAAAACAGTGTGACAGAGCAGAATAACACATACTCTGAAAGAAGGAACCTAGCACAGGGTGAGCAACCAGGCAGGGGTACCCAGGCCTGGAGAACCAGCACAAAGGCTTCCTTCTCTCTAAATTACCATGCACTTCAACAAGGACTTGCACCTGCTCTTCCCAGCTTCTCTCCTCCCCCAACTGTGCTGCCACACAGATCCCGCACTGCACTGTCTCAATCATGGCTGCTGGCCAATAGACGCAAGCTGAGGTTGGCACAGGTCCCCACAGCCTCCAAGCTCCCGGCTGAGCACACCCCAACCCAAGAAGGACAACAACGCTCTCTTCTCAAAGTGATCCTGAAGGGACACTTCTAGACTCTGGAGAGCCAACTGGCCAACGTCTGAGGAGCCATGAAGTCGCTGGTGTTGAGCCTTGCAGTCTTGATGTTCCTGGTCCAGTTAACCTCAGGTAAACAGGACCTTGGAGAAGAAGAAATGTGGTCTAAAACTTGTTCCTGGCCCTGGATTTGAGTTCCCCTGCTCTGTGGTGGCAGGGGTGGAGTTCTCCCTGGCAAGAAGAGGGGAGGGAGTGAGGTTCTATTGTTCCAGAACAACTCTGCCCCACGTTTCTCTAATGGGAGCTGGGGAGGAGAGAAATGGGGAGGCAGCACCTGTGCCACAACCTCTTCTTTCAGCCTGTGTGGGAGTAGAGATGTCCCTGAGACCCACCTCCTCTGTGTCCTGTTTGCCCTGTTGCTCTGCTGGTCCCGGAAAAGTCCTGCCTCACTCCACTCTCAGTGTCCCCTGAGCTAACAATCCCAACACATGACCTCCCTCTGTGTTCTGCATCTAACCAAGAAACTCCCTGGTTTGTCTGCTCTTGGGTGCTCTTGGCATGAAAGGTGTCCTACAGAATTACAAAGTGAGAAAGGCCAGAGCAATATTTTAGGTGGACGTGGGGGACTATGCACAGTTGATATTTCAGCATATTGTGTGAGCATTTCTTCTTTGATGTTTTGTGTCTTCTTGGCCAGGAATGGCTGCCTGTGTTGATGCAGTAGAACATGCTGCTTTGACACATACACACAGTGTAATACTGTCAACCTTGCACATCTGTCATGTATTTTTGGTAGAAACAACAAAAATCCTCTCTTGTTGTTGTTGTTTTGAAATGCATGATACACTCTTCTGAACTGTGGCCACTCCACCTCAAAGAACACCCGAACTTACTTTTCCTCGTTGGAACTCTATCACTTCTACAGCCTAGACAAGGTTCCTGGAAGAGCCTTAGGAATCAAGAAACCGGCCACAATCTTGGTAGAGAGACAGCTTCCATTCTCAACTTCACTGCCCAAGTAGCCACAACAGCTAGAGCTGAACCAATCAAAGGCCAGCAACTTCTCCTTGGCCTCCTATGTGGGTGCAGGAGTCGAAGGACATGAGCCATCCTCTGCTGCTTTCCCACATCATAAACAGGGAGTTGAATCAGAAGTGGGCAGTCAGGACACCAACTGCTGCCCACATAGGATGTCAGGTCCTCAGGTTGGGGTCGGTGGTGCTGCATCATTGCACCAGTCCCACAGGCAGCAGGTGAACCCCTTACACCACAATGCTGGTACCATAACCTGACATCTTTTTTCAAAGATAGTGTAAGGCAAGTCTAGAGTCACATTCTAAGTACAATTTGTAGAGACATCAAACATCTCACCAAGTTTCAGCAATAGGCAGTATGTGCTTCAGTTAGGGTTAGGGGTCCGCCATGATTTTAACATGTATTTTTTCAATCTTTCAAATGATCGTTCTGACTGCCCCCTAGAGGTTTGTGTGGATACAGCTGCATTTTAGTGACTTAACTGGGGTCTCATGTGTCTTCTAAGTGTGTATTTGTGCCACTTAGAATAGCAGGCACCTGTTGAGTGTGTTTTGAACCCTGACTTCAGAAACGTGCGTCTCATCCCTTTATACACACCTCCATCTTGGTTCATTTCTCAAGATTTCTAAGTGCTCAGATCAGCCTGTACAAGATTCAAGCCATCCTGTCCACAAAAAATGATTATGTTTCTCTTTTTATGACCAACACCTCATGGTAAATACTTCCACCCACTTTTTGTAGGTAACTGGTCTGGGAAGCGGTGTTTCTACAAGTCGGGAAGATGCAGGAACAAGTGCCGAGACACAGAGGTTGAGGCCCAGCCTTCATTCCAGACATGCAAAGGCAGCAGACGATGCTGTGTTTACAAAAATATTGAGGCTATTCTGAACTGTCTTGAAACCACCAAACCTACAAAGACTAGTGCAGCATTTATTTGGGATATGGGCACTCCTTCTACGGAAGACAGTCAGATTCCCGACGTCGCAACCATGGCTACTACGGAGACAGCCCTAAGTACTGGTGCAACAGGCAGCGCAGCATCTTCCTCTGCCGCCACCACAGCCACCATAGCCACTACCGCCAGTGGCGGTTAACATTGATCATTTCAACCTCTGCTCTGGTCCTGATTCATTAAAGACAACTTGTTCAACCTGCTGTCGCTCTCTATGGCCTCTGTCCCACTGTCCCTCAGTGCCACCTTCCTCCTCCCGTTTCGTGTTGCTGGCCAGGACATCAGGTCTCCATCGCACAAGATGTTCCAGGTCAGGGATGCAGATAAGAGGGAGTTTCCGCACCAGTAGCAGGTACTGCAAGCACCCAAGTCAGCACTGAGAGGGAGAAGCAAGCCGTGCTGTGCCTGAAGCCAGGGGCAGGCCCACACACTTGGCCTGCACCGCAACTGTCACACAGTGATGTTTGCTAGACACACGGACAGAGACTGCTGAGGCAGGTGAGCTGGGCCTGCTTGGCAAGTCCTTACTCTGTAGGGGAGCCTGAACAGCTGCTTTGCACACAGGTCCCTAAGGGTGCTGGATTTCTGCTCCAGTCGCCACACCTTTTGTTATGGAGAGAGTGATCATGCAGGACGTGAGTGTAGAGTTGAAGTAGAAATCTTTCTTTTCCCAACTTTGTGACAGCAGCTCCTGCTACACTCCAGGAGCCCTACACCCTAAAGCGTAAGTTATGGTCGTTGACTCAGTCTCACATCCAGGGACATCATATCTGGTTTGTAGAATTCATCCCAGTTTTCCATATCTGTATCCTGGAGTTCCACTCATACCAGGTAAAAGAATTGTGACAGAGAATGAGTCTTATCTTTATGGCATCTCCAGTGTGCCGGAAAGTCCATTTATCTTCCAATTCTGAAGTGGCATTCTTCAGTTGGGAGTGGTGGATCCGGGGGTTGATTGCTCCCACCTCCACAGCCTTAGAGGTATTGTCAGAATCACCGGGTAAGGTTCTTTAGGGTTGACACTGGTAACTCGGTCTTGATTTTCATGCCCTCCTTGCAGCGAGGATCCATTCACAAAATCAGTTGTCCTTTATTGCCAGGTTGAATTTGATCTGGTTGCTGATCCAGTCTCATATCAGGAAGGAAATATATGACAACAGGAGTTAGTGAGTGTCAAATAGCCGTGGAAGCCACATTTGACCATAAAGAGGTTTTAAAAGGATTGATCTCTATTCCAACCTCCCATAAGGCTTACTGCCATCTATTCTGTAGATATGTGTTGCCATCTGAAAGTGCTAGGCCACCATTACCTTGCTAGGAACTCAACTTCTGTATAATTCTAATAGGCAACAGACACAGAGCTCAAATAGAAGACACATATTAAAGCCTGTAAGTCAAGTTTGTGCCCCTAAAACAATGAACAGTCTTACAGTCTAAGAAGATACATAACTGATTGCTCCCGTAAGTATAGTACAGATAATTGACTACCATACAACATCAGACCCAGAAAACTTTCTTTCTTTTTTTTTTTTTTATTGTTGTTTACATTGTATTATGTAGTACAGTTTTATAGGCGCTGGGGATTTCCCCCACCCCTCCCATACCCCTCCCCCCATGGTGGATTCCTCCACCTTGTTGCATAACCATAGTTCAAGTTCAGTTGAGATTCATTGCTTGCAAACACATGCCTAGCATAAAGTTCAGCGTCTTATTGTCCAGATGGTTAGCAAAGCGAAAAGCAAGGGGCAGATTTACAATCTCAAAATAGATGCATTGTAGTTTGTTGCTCGACTGCTAATCAACTTGTAAAGCTAAGCTGACAATCAAAGCAGACAGGCTTTTGAATTGCAGGAATTTATAAAAGTTACCTTAGTTTTTGCCTCACACTGCTTTCATGTAGGCAATGTCAGTAAACAAAGCGAGATTCCTGCTATAACAAAGACAAATTCTAGCTGAACTCATACGAACAATCACATTGCCAAATAGAAACCCAAAGAAGCTTCAGAAAAGCTCGTCTGCGTCTCAGGGGAACCAGATGAGGGGAAGGTGCTTTATTCACAAACACAAGTTTTCCCAAAGTACCGAAAAATCATGGGGAATGTTTTCTTCAACATTATGATACAGAAAGTGTCATTTTATACATACATATATACAGCCAATGATATATCAATTAAGGTAGAAAAATGGGCAGTTACTTCACTTATACAACATTCCAAGAGGCCAAACACAAAACGCCATAAAAAAGAAACAGATTCTAACCATCATGAAATTGAAGAAATAAGGGAAGAAAAAGAAATATTTACCAAACAGAGAGGAAAAAATATTTTAAGGATGGGGATATGACTGGTACATAGATAGATACTATGTAGATTGCACTATGCTTTCACAAGTCCATTTGTCAAACTCATCAAATTGCAGACTTTCAGACATTCCTCATTAGAAAACGTACAAGTGGCCCCACAGTAGGGAGACACAGTGGCTAAACCTCTGACTGTGGCACAAGCATTCCGTAAGGGTGCTGGTTTACATCTTAGCTGCTCTACTTCTGATTCAGCTTTCTGCTTAGAACCTGGCAAAGCAGCAGAGGATGGCCCAAGGCATCAGGTCTCTGCACCCACAGAGCAGACCCGGAAGAACCTCCTGGCTCCCACTTGCACATCACTGTAGCTCTGCCCCAGGGCTGCCATTTGGGGAGTCAACTTGTGCATGGAAAATCACTCTATTTCTGTCTCTCTTTCTCTCTCTTTCTCTCAATCTAACTCTCAATCACAAGTAAAAATAAATGAATCTTTTAAAAGGTAGCTGTTGGCCAAAAGACAAAGTTTTCAGAATGCAAGTGTGGCTCTGTAGATATGGCAAAGGTTGCAATGGAGAGATGGTAGAGCCAGAGAAGGCTGGGTCGGGTCAGGCCAGGGCAGGTGTCTGAGATGGATGCTCTAAGCAAGGAGATTGTGCTCACAAAGTTGCATAGTGGGCAAGGCCAGAGCCCAAGGAGGCACATACTCCAATGGGATTTTGCCCCATGCTCTACTCTCCTCCCCTCGCAGGACCTTTGAGAATCCACCTGAGGGCCTCCTAGTTAGGCCAATGTGCATCAGGCAACAAAAGCACACAGGTGCATCAGAATCACATAAACCATGGTGATGGGTCCCCAGAGAAGAAAGCCCCTGGGACAGGCACTGGGTCACTCCTTTCTCTCTAGAACCCTCTGCTCAGAAGCTTTGAAACACTTGTGTCTTCTTTCCTCCTTAAGTGTCACCCCCTCTGCAAACCGTACTTCACGCTGTGCTGGGCATGCAGACGCTGCTGGAGGGTCCTCCCATTACAGAAACCAGACACAATACCTGAATGCCCCTCATGGAATCATGAGGCATTCATGTTTCAGGTGTGGCATTAAAGACATCTTTGTGCCCTCATCCTTTAACTTTAACTTACTCAGTTTTTGAAAATGACTCTCTCAATCCCCAGGATATCAACAAAGTATTATTCACTTGTTCAACTCTCAGTTCATTAGAGCCTCCATGGAGAGAATTGTGTATCTGTACAGAATGTATATGCCACACAGGAACATATGTATTAACTATGCAGCAGAACATTGATTTTAAGGGACACATCATAAAGAAAATAGTGTGACAGAGCAGAATAACACATACTCTGAAAGAAGGAACGTAGCACAGGGTGAGCAACCAGGCAGGGGTACCCAGGCCTGGAGAACCAGCACAAAGGCTTCCTTCTCTCTAAATTACCATGCACTTCAACAAGGACTTGCACCTGCTCTTCCCAGCTTCTCTCCTCCCCCAACTGTGCTGCCACACAGATCCCGCACTGCACTGTCTCAGTCACGGCTGCTGGCCAATAGTCACAAGCTGAGGTTGGCACAGGTCCCCACAGCCTCCAAGCTCCCGGCTGAGCACACCCCAACCCAAGAAGGACAACAACGCTCTCTTCTCAAAGTGATCCTGAAGGAGGGACACTTCTAGACTCTGGAGAGCCAACTGGCCAACGTCTGAGGAGCCATGAAGTCGCTGGTGTTGAGCCTTGCAGTCTTGATGTTCCTGGTCCAGTTGACCTCAGGTAACAGGACCTTGGAGAAGAAGAAATGTGGTCTAAAACTTGTTCCTGGCCCTGGATTTGAGTTCCCCTGCTCTGTGGTGGCAGGGGTGGAGTTCTCCCTGGCAAGAAGTGGGGAGGAGTGGGGTTCTATTGTTCCAGAACAACTCTGCCCCACGTTTCTCTAATGGGAGCTGGGAAGGAGATACAGATGGTGACACCTCTTCTTTCAGCCTGTGTGGGAGTAGAGATGTCTCTGAGACCCACCTCCTCTGTGTCCTATGTTTGCCCTATGTACCCCTTCTCTCTCCTGGTCCCAGAAAAGTCCTGCCTCACTTCGCTCTCACTGTCCCCTGAGCTAAGAATCCCAACACATGACCTCCCTCTGTGTTCTGCATCTAACCAAGAAACTCCCTGGTTTGTCTGCTCTTGGGTGCTCTTGGCATGAAAGGTGTCCTACAGAACTACAAAGTGAGAATGGCTAGAGCAATATTTTAGGTGGACGTGGGGGACTATGCACAGTTGATATTTCAGCATATTGTGTGAGCATTTCTTCTGTGATGTTTTGTGTCTTCTTGGCCAGGAATGGCTGCCTGTGTTGATGCAGTAGAACATGCTGCTTTGACACATACACACATGGTGTGATCGCGTATCCTTCACTAATGAATGTCAGCTATTTACTTGTAAGGGGAACACCCAAAACCTTCTCTTCTAGTTATTTTGAAATGCACAACATACTCTTGTGACGTTTGGCCACTCCACTTCAAAATAATACCATGACTTACTTCTCCTCACTGTTTTCTATGATTTGTATTTACACAGCCTAGACAAGAATCCTGGATGTGCTTTAGGAATCAAGAAACCGGACACAATCTTGTTAGTGTTTATGCTTTTTCTATTTGGTTCAACTGACAGCTGATCATGCCACCTGCCTTCTTGACATGGAACAATGTATCAGGAGAAGTCTTACAAATCTTCAAGTGGTCCCTGAAAATATCATTAGCAGAAGACGCTCATTATTCTGTCAGATTGTTGTAGCAATATTAACCTGTTGTGTCATTTGAATGATTTTTCTCTGCATGAATATTGTAAAGCTAATGAGACAATTTGTGGGAGTTTCTAATGACCCAGGTAAATTTAACAAGATTCTGTAATTTTTTAAATTTATTTTACTGCTCTCCCCACAGTGTATTCTTCTGTGATTCTCTTGTTTCTTTGGTTATGAATCCCCCCAATGATTCACTTGTTTCTTTTCTTCCCCTTTCCAAACTAAGACCTTCTTAGACCTTGGTCACCATTTTATGCCCGGTAGAGTACTTGACTCAGATAGTAGCTGGTGTTTAAGTGTGGAGAGACTAGAAAAAAGGCACTTAGCACACACGACAAGACAGAATTCCACCCTCTCTTTATGGCTTTCAGTGTTGGAAAGTGTGTTATTTTACGTAGGTGTACGGTACGGGCATTAACATCGCACTTCTCAAAGAATGACGGCATCGTATTTACTGTTATCCTTAATTAATAGCTTTTTGTTGTTTTCACCCAAAAGTTTTATTGAATATTTACATGTCAGTGTCCTACAGATAGATATCAATGGAGAGACACATATGAGAAAAAAAATTGTGCTAGTAATACCAAAAGTTGATACGTTGTTTTTTTTATTTAAAGATTCAATTATATGAGTCTGAATTAAGAAAGTGTGACAGAGAGTCATTTGTTGCTGGATCACTCAGAGATGGCTTCAGCGGTCACCCCTAGGGCCACACCAACGCCAGGCATTTCTTTTAGCCCACTCACTTGGGTGCAGCGGCCAAAACAAGTGGGCCATCTTCTGCTTTCCTAGACCATTACTAGGGGGCTGCTTCAAAAATGGAGCAGTTGGAACATGATCCAGCACCCTAATGGGATGCTGTTCTCACAGGCAGCAGTGTTGGGGGATTATATACATTTATTTTTTTTTTATTTTAATTTGTGTGGCTGAGTTACAATGAGAGAGAAGGGAAGAATTTCCATTCTCAAGTTCACTTTCCAAGTACCCACAACAGCCAGATATGAGCCAATCAAAAGCCAACAGCTTCTTCTGGACCTCCCAAATGGGTGGAGGGGCCCAAGAACCTGAGCCATCTTCTTGCTGCTTCATAGGCCATAAACAGTAAGCTGAACCAGAAGTAGAGTAGCCAACTTCTCCTTAACTCTTGATCCATCCAACTGTGAACAACTACATTAACATCATCTAAAATTTAAAATAATTTTTTAAAAAATCAGAAAAAACAATAACACTACTTCTTAACCAAAAAAAAGACAAAAACAAAACAAACAAAAAAAGAGCAAAAATGTTTACAAACATGTGCATTTACTTTATACCAAAAAATTACTTTAAATAAAACAGATTTCCTTAAAAGGACTTCTAGGAATATGATGCTTTTTAACTATTCACAGTGAATTTTTTTCAAATATTTCTCATATTTTGCAAAGTATCACTGCACACAGCTTTCAAAATGGTAGACGGGGAGAACCATACCTTGTAGAACTTTGTTGTATTTTTACTTCAATCTGCATAATTATATAACAAAATGGTGCCTTTAATGTAAATTTTCAAAGACATGAAAACTACTAATTAGCATGGCCAACCAAGGATTTTTTTCACCTATTCTTCTACATTCTTCACCAATTATTAGTAATATTCTTTATTATGTAAAGTCCCAAGATCCGTCAGGGGAAAGCTATTATTGTACTGTTTGGGAAAATTGCCTCTTTGTAATGAATTAATCTAGATTTGTTATACATTACTATAAAATAAATTTAAAGGAAATGGGGAGGGGGGAAGGAAGAAGTTTAGCAGCCAGGACACCAACTGCTGCCCACATAGGATGCCAGGCCCTCAGGTTGGGGTCAGTGGTGCTGCATCATTGCACCAGTCCCACAGGCAGCAGGTGAACCCCTTACACCACAATGCCGGTACCATAACCTGACATCTTTTTTCAAAGATAGTGTAAGGCAAGTCTAGAGTCACATTCTAAGCACAATTTGTAGAGACATCAAAAACCTCACCGAGTTTCAGCAACAGGCAGTATGTGCTTCAGTTAGGGTGTGGAGGTCAGCCATGATTTGAACATATGTCATTTTCAAATGATTGTTCTGACTGTGTGGGTGCAGCTGCATTTTGGGGACTTGACTGGGGTTTCGTGTGCAGTGTCAGCGTGTATTTGTGCCACTTAGAATAGCAGGCACCTGGTGAGTGTGTGCTGAACCCTGACTTCAGAAATGTGTGTCTCATCCCTTTATACACACCTCCATGTTGGTTCATTTCTAAAGATTTCTATCTGCTCAGAACAGCTTTTCTGATTAGGACAAACATAACAAACTGACCGGTACAAGATTCAAACCACCCTTGTCCACAAAATGATTGCTTTTTCCTTTTTATGACCAACACCTCATGGTGAATGTTTCACCTCTTCTTTTTGCAGGTAACTGGTATGTGAAGAAGTGTGCCAACAAGTCAGGACGCTGCAGGTCCGTGTGCCGAGCCACAGAGAAGAACCAGCCTTCATTCCAGACGTGCAAAGGCAGAAAACGATGCTGTGTTAGGATAGATGCTGACGCTCCTCTGACCTGTGACGAAACCAAGAAACCCTCAGAGGACACTTCAGAATCTCATGGGGATGCAGACTCTTTTGAAGAGGAAGACAGTCATGTTCCCGAGGGCACAGTCCCGGCTGATGGGGAGACAACCACAAGTACTGGGGCAGCATCTTCCTCTGCCGCCACCACAGCCACCGTAGCCACTACCACCACTGGCGGTTAGCATTGATCATTTCAACCTCTGCTCTAGTCCTGATTCATTAAAGACAACTTGTTCAACCTGCTGTCGCTCTCTATGGCCTCTGTCCCACTGTCCCTCAGTGCCACCTTCCTCCTCCCATTTCGTGTTGCTGGCCAGGACATCAGGTCTCCATCGCACAAGATGTTCCAGGTCAGGGATGCAGATAAGAGGGAGGCTCCGCACCAGTAGCAGGTACTGCAAGCACCCAAGTCAGCACTGAGAGGGAGAAGCAAGCCGTGCTGTGCCTGAAGCCAGGGGCAGGCCCACACTCGCCCTGCACAGCAATTGTCACAGTGGAGCTTGCTAGACACAAGAGAGATTGCTAAGTCTGGTCTCTGATAGCAAGTTCTCCTCTACTTTTGGTTTGGCCACAGATGGAAGGCTGCATTTTTCTAGTTGTTTTTGCAGTTGTGTGTGATGCAAATGCATCCCATGGAAGGCCTCCATAGTTATTTTGTGAACCCGTCCCATGAAAGGTTCCCATAGTACTTTTCTTTTCTTTCTTTCTTTTTTTTTTTCTTTTACTTTAGTTTCTTTTTTTTTTTTTTTTTTTTTTTTAAAGATTTATTTTTATTATTTTTTCATTGGAAAGGCGGATATACAGAGAGGAGATACAGAGAGGAAGATCTTCCATCCGATGATTCACTCCCCAAGTGAGCCGCAACGGGTCGATACTATGCCGATCCGAAGCCAGGAGCCTCTTCCGGGTCTCCCACGCGGGTGCAGGGTCCCAAAGCTTTGGGCCGTCCTCAACTGCCTTCCCAGGCCACAGGCAGGGAGCTGGAAGGGAAGCGGGGCTGCCGGGATTAGAACCGGCGCCCATATGGGATCCCGGGCGTGCAAGGCGAGGACTTAACCACTTGCGCCACCGCGCCGGGCCCTACTTTAGTTTCTTAAAATACATTTTTGGGCAGGGCGGGGGAGGGGGAGGAAGGCAGATTTGCAGAAAGAGCTTCCATCCACTGGTTCACTCCGCAAGTGGCTACAATGACTGGAGCTGAGCCAATCAGAAGCCAGTAACAAGCTTGCTCTTCCAGGACTGCCATGTGGGCACAGGATCCCAAGGCCATAGGCTGTCCTCTACTGGTTTCCCAGGCCACTAGCAGGGAGCTGGATGGGAGGTGGAACAGCAGGGTCATGAACTGGCATCCATGTGTCGTTCCAGCACTTGGAAGTGGAGGATTAGCCAATTAAACAATGGTACTGTGCCCTCTATAGTCATTTTCTTACTAAACTTGCAGCATAAGCCTTAGAATGCAAGCATAATGACCTAACTTTCTGAAATATGGAACCTAATTTCCAAGCATTAGAAAACCAGAACAAACTAAATTGAATTATGCTCTACTTTGATGTTGTCCAATGTGTCCGCTCTCTGGAAACCCTCGCTCACAACGCCTACCTTTAGCTAGGACGGAAGCAGTGCCAAGAGCTGTACAGTGTGACCTGCACCCTGGGAGATGCCTTTGGGCTCCTGAAAGGCCAAAGATTGAATGCAGAAAACACAGGTGGACGTGTTTTCTGCACAACAGACAAGTTCATAGGCATCAAGAAGGAATCTTTGTCCTTCTTCCCTTGATCCTAGATCCACGTTCCTCTTATCACCACTAATCGGTGCCTCCCACCTGCACTGCTAGGGCACAAATTCTGCCCTGCCGACTTGCTGCAGGATGAATTCACTAGCCTGCTCCTTGGTCCTTCTGCATTCCATTTCCATGCTTGGCAATGACAGTCAATCACATGCTGAAACCCAACTATAACCATTAAGCTACATGCTGGCATCTTGGCAGGTGGCATCTCAGTCCAACCTTCCTTGTTCTTTGCATTAAGACCTCAGTGGATGGCTTTAGTCCCCCAAGCCCCTCCTGTCACTGTCCCACAGGATACTTTGCACTTCAGCCTCACACAGTTATTTGGGGTTGATTTGAAGTCTCCCCCAGTAGTCTGACTTTGGCCTCCACTTACTCTTCTCTGGAAAAAAAAAATCTTTTCTTCTGGAGGACCTTGATGGCCACATTGCTCTTTCCAAAAATAGAACTGCTGTCACTTCTTGCATTCCCTTATCACGGCTCACGCGTCCCACATGCTACAGTGTAGGTATTTACAGTGGCTTCTTCCAGACTGGACATTTGACCATAATAGGAACCGTGTTCTCTTTTTCTTTCTCTTTCATCCTCCACTGCTTTCCCGGGGCCACAAGCAGGGAGTTGGACAGAAAGTGGAGCAGCTGGGACACAAACTGGCGCCTGTATTGGATGCAGTGCTTGGAGATGGAGGATCAGTCAGTTGAGTCTATATATCAGTCCATAAAAGGGGTCCTTGGCGGGGCAGAAGAGGATTTGGGGTGTTACTGGCCTCTTTCCTTAAGTTATTGTGGATGTGCCTCTCTCCAAAGACCTATCCATCACCTGTCTCACACACAGTAGAGGATACTTGAGCAGTGGATTGTTCCAACTGCTTGGACATTGGTGCAAACACCATGTCCAAAGCATGACCATGGTTGGGGACAGCAAAGGGGCAACATAGAAGCAGATTGTGTCAGCAGAGAACAACAGGAGGAAACAGAAACCACACACACACACACACACACACACACACACACACACACACACACTGCTTTAGGATTTGATGTATCTGGGGTCAGTCATGATCTCACCATCACCTCAATCTGACTAGGAATCAGATTTTCCAGCTCTAAGTCCATATTTGTAAACTTGATGACAAGGATTTACTGTCACTCAGGTGCAAAGCAAATATGTCAAAATATATTAAACGTATGGCCAGTACAATAGCAGTTACAGTCCTCACCCTGCATGTGCCAGGATCCCATATGGGTGCCAGTTCTAATCCCAAAGGCTCCACTACCCATTCAGCTCCCTGCTTGTGGCCTGGGAAAGCAGTCGAGGACAACCCAGAGCTTTTGGACCCTGAACTTATGTAGGAGACCCAGAAGAGGCTCTGGGCTCCTGGCTTCTGATCAGCACAGCTCCAGCCATTGCAGCCACTTGGGGAGTGAATCAATGGACGGAAGATCTTCCTCTCTGTCTCTCCTCCTCTCTGTATTTCTGACTTTACAATAAAAATAAATCATTAAATATATATATATACATGTATATGTCAAAAGTAGCTATGGCAAGTTGCTGATTGCAGGCTGAGGAGCCAGAGAAGGCATGTCTCTGCAGCCCAGCACAGGAGACCATGGCCTCTCTGCAGGGGCTGGGGCATTGCAGCTCCTGTTTGACCTGAAGGGAGACTTGTAGCTGTGCACGGAGGCTATGCTACTCCTGACCTGAAGGCAGATATTGCAATGCATGACCCAGGGCTGAGGGTCATGAGTTCTCTCTGAATGACCAGATAAGGCATTAACACCTGCTCGTAGAACTGGCTGTGCTGCATCATCAGGGGTCATCTCAGACACTAGCTCGAAAACATCTGAGAGATACTATCACTTTGGTTATGGTTATGGTTTTGGTTATGGTTATGGTTTTCAGCTCCCTGCTTGTGGCATGGGAAGACAGTTGAGGGTTGCCCAAAGCCTTGGGACCCTGCACCCGCATGGGAGACCCGGAAGAGTTCCAGGCTCCTGGCTTCGGATTGGCTCAGCTCCAGCCCTTGTGGTCACTTGGGGAGTGAACCATTGGATGGAAGATCTTCCTCTCTGTCTCTCCTCCTTTCTGTATATCTGACGTTTCAGTAAAAATAAAGAAATCTTTAAAAAAAAAAGAAATTTCAGCATAGGCTGAAATCTTTCTTTAAATGTGAGCAAGCGTCTGACGGCAATGATGGTGAACACTGCCCCCTAGTGGTAGATGCTTAAATGTTCAGTGACATCATTGGCCTAGCTGGGGGACACATTCCCTGTCAAGGAGACTGGACTTGATTTGGGGTTGTGTTTCTCATGCCAACATTCTGAGAATGCAGCGCACCTGGCAAGCAGCACGTGATGGCCCAACACTGGTTTCTGGCTCCACTTATGGAGGCCATGGGTTGAGTTCCCAGCCCCAGGTATGGGTTACCTCTCTGTCTGTTACGCAGAAACTCACAGATCCCTCTCACACATACACATTTAAGTAATGGAATAAATAACTTAAAAAGATAAAGGAATGCTAACTATGCCAAAGAAAAATTGAAATGTCAAACTAATATTCACAAATAAAGGTACAACTGTTGAAAAAAATACTCTCCTGCCTGCTGTTTTAATTGTTATAAAATATAGCTATAAGATAAATTTTGTGGTTAGAATCAAGATGGCAGAATAGGGTAAAGACACGTTTAAACAGATGGAGAATCATTAGCCAGAGTGAAGCAGAGAGGGTACATTATAGGAAATAGGAGAGGACAGGCTGACAGCAAAGGGGCACCTGGAGACTAATGGACACAGGAAAGCAGCTGGCACAATGTGTGGCATTGCAGTGACAAGATACCCCAGTAGCATTCAGTGAGCAGCGATCTGATCCACCAGCAGCCAGGTAGGAAGGGGAGTTCATCTTGAGTTCAGTAGATGAACCCAAGCAAAGAACTGCCGATACTGCTGATATGTTCGATTCAATTAGGAGCAGAGAGAGAGAGACAGAGCCCACAGATCCCAAGCAGGCAGTGTGGGAACAGGGTGGATTTCATAGCCCAGATCCCACCAGAGCCACGTGGGGCATCATTTTGTGTAGGGAGGCAAATGCTATGGGGCAGGACTGCACATGCGCTAAGCTGAAGGCAAACTCATTTCTGTATCAGTGCATTGCACTGACATGGCATCCAACAGATTCTGCCCAAAATAGATCTGGGTAGCCGCCAGCCTTAACAACCAGCAGATCCACAACTCCATGAGTGGAAAATCAGGCACAATTTTATACAATGTGACAAAGGTTATGAGACATCAGGGACAACAGTGACCTGCACATGTGCTTGTAATGGGAGCAAACTCGCTTCCAGCTCAGTGCATTGCACTGGTCCCACAGGAAAAAATAATACTGACTTTGGCATCCTAT